TTCGAATAAAGAAATTTTTTTTACCTCTTTGGTGGTCAGAAGTGGCTCCAACGTGTGATGGGCAGCAGTCGGCTCCCTTCCCGGCAACTGAGTTTTCTTTTCTGGCGGAGGGTCTAGCGGCTAGGGTTAGAGTTTGGTGTGAAGAAAGTTATTTATACACGATGCGATTTGATCTAGGCTGTCCATCACATTTGATCTGTACTGTCTGATCGCGTTTAAATAGGGAGTGAATCTATACCGTCCATCGCGATTTGATATGGGCCGTCCGATTGCGTTTAAATCTGACCGTTCGATCATGTTTGAGGAGGGAACGGATCCGGACCGTTTATGTGCGCGGGAATAAATCTAGGCAGTTTGATTGTGGGCACGCGGATCGTCAGCGTGGCCTCTCGTGTGGCACCGCGTCAACGTCTCCTACCATACGGCACGCTTCGGTTTGTTGAGACTGCTGATTGGACGTTCTACATGACAATTTTTCTAAATTGTGTTTTGACTCCCAGTTTTTGAATTTTTTTTCAAAAATACTTTAAGAACTCAAATTTTCACTACTTTTCTAAAATTGTTTTCAATTTCATCATTCATTGAATTTTCTTCATTTTTTCATTAAATAATAATTAAAAAAATAAAAATTAAATTATATATATTAATATGAATATTACAAATTTAATTTTGGGTATTACAGTTCAGATTAAAGAACAAATTATCCCGAATATGCTCACCAAATTTCAGTTCGATCGTCGGAGAAAATCAAACTAGTCAGTGCAAGGAAGAAAAATGTGAATAGTAACTTCGAACTGAAAGTACTGAAAATTCAACCGTTGAAAATCAATCTCCATGGTTTAGAATTGATTCGAATAAAGATCACCGTCTGATCGTGGAAAGAAGCAAAATACATTGGATCTAATTTTCCAGCAAAAATTCTCTTTTCTGTTCACATTTTATTTTGGTGGTTAAAAATTTATTTTTATATTATTTCTTAAGATTAAAATGGTATACAAAAAAAAAAATCTTAATAATCCTAATGGGCAAAAAAATAAGTGGGTTCAAAAGTATTTGAATTTTTTCATAAAGGAGGGAGCCCAAAACCCAACTTACACTTATTTTCCATATTTGTCCACTTATAGAAGGAAGCTTTGTTTTGGCTGGACAGTTAAGCTTTTTATCTCTAGTTAAAAAAAAAACCATATTCATTATACTGAGATTAAGTTCTACTAAATTTCAATCTTATAGAATATAAATGATGTAAAATTTTGATATAAGTATGTCCAATTCAAATTAAGATAAATACGGTGGAACTTATTGTTTGTCCACCTAAAGAAGGAAGTTTTCATTTAGGGGGACAAATAAGTTAATTCTTATATCTAGTGCGAAAAAGAACCATATTCTCTATATGATTTTCTTCAAAACTAAAGTTGAGTTTACTTTAAGTTTTAACTTAATAAAATATAAATGGTATAAAATGTTGAATGGAAATAGCTTGTTCTTTTATAAGTTGATTTAATCTCAATCTCAATTCATGAGGATGAATTTGGTTCAACTTATTATCCATGTTTATCCACTTAAACAAGGAAGTTTAGTTTTGGATTGGTAAAGAAATTCAAATTCTGCAGAAGATATAAAATAAAAATTTAATGAAAATTGTGTTCTATTTCTCTCGAAGTGTATTCTATATTTAAGTTAGTTTTTCTTTCTTGTGATTCATCACTTGACAAGTGAGAACAATTTATGATTATGGAACTGAATATATGTTTAATATTTAATCACAAAATCATGGTTTTGCTATTGTTTTCTTTTTTTTTTTTTTTCGTTTCAAAATTCCTCTCAGAATGGAGTAAAAAGTTTTATAAACTGTTGCTGCAGGTTCGCCCCAGCCCTGCATTGAGGCAGAAAACACAAAGCTTTGATCTTGATGAGCTATTAGCAAATTCACCTCCTTGGCCTCCAGTCATAAATCCTGGCAAAAATAACAAAGACGAAGAGAAAGAAATGGGGTCCGCTGAGTGGGTAGATAAGGTCATGGTGAACAAAGTTAACTCCCCTCTAAGATGTTGGGACACAGACAGTGGGAATTTGCCTGATGAATTCTACCAAAAGTACCTTCCTGATTCTTCAAAAATTTATCCAGAGCAGTCATATAACTTGTTCATGGGAAACAACCAGTTCAACATTG